TAAGAAATTTGCAGGATTGCTTTACAGCTCATAAAACACGAGAGGAACAGGATGAAGGGATGTTCTTCCAGTACAAACAGGGGGAAATTTCCTCACTATAGCAGATGGTGGAATGACTCAACAGCCAATGAAAATCTCTTCAACAACCCTAGGATCCACAGCACTGATCCCTTTCTTTATCCGCGTCAGGAAAGACGACAATATAAGGATGCGATATTAGGAAATGTTGTCACAGAAGTAGTGGCTCACAAACAGTATCACCAGTATAAGGTTATGGCTGTTAATTATCTCAGTCAGGTGGTAATAATACACTATATATAGTAATGATGTCTTAAAATGTTGCTAGTTTCAATTTATTTAGTATATCATAGCAAGATCAAGGAACTGTCTTCATGTTTTCCACACCAGTTGTTTCACCACTTTCAGGGTCACAGGGAGCCCAATCTCTTTCTCAGAATGCATTTGGCAGACGCTATCTCAAATGAAAAGTCATGGGATTTTAAACAAGGGAAGTGACTCCTGTTTCTTCCCATTTCAAATCCACGAGTTCAAGGACACTACACACAGCGCTGTAAATATTGACAAACACAAGCTTTCACATGCACACACCCACAAGCAAGCACAAATTTAATATTTTTCTTTCTCTCTCACGCACACACACACACACACACCACATCTGAGCGAGTTGTTCTGACAGCAGAGCGCCGTCAGCTACTGGACTGTGTTTCGTTTTGACAAGCAGGTGGTGCAGCATCCACAGCATTACCAATGAACACAACCTGACCCTGAACTATACACACTGTTTTACTTTACAATACATTACATACATACACATTAAACCAACTGTTGTCCACAAGCAGACTGACAACCAGGAAGTAAAGCAGATCCATTATTCAGCACATAAAGGACCCTGTGACCTTTGCTTTGAGACACTTCCACCTGTGTGTAATCAAACTGGAAGCTGGTGTCATTTTTTCTCCTCCTCTACCCTCTGTTCTCATTTTATCATGTTTTCTCACCCTGCCCTCTTCTCTTATTGGTTTCACCCTGCAGCCCACCACCCCCAAACTCCTCTTCCTCCCCTCTCTTTTTGATCGTGCCGAGTGGCAGATTGGGTGCTCAGAGGAAACACATTCAATAATAAAAGAAGGAGAGAGGATGGAGGGATGAGAAGAAGGATAAAATGTATTGTGCCCCTTCTGAGTGTCTCTGAATGATTTATAACACAAACTGACGCTTGCACGATCCTCTGGGGAAGTTGCGGCTGCACTTCTCCTCCTCATTCACTCCACCCCGCTTGGCATTTTTGGCCAATCAACAAAAGAAACATATAATAGAGAAAGATTTATTAAAAGGATTTACTCAAGAGGCTTTCAAATGTATCTTATTTTAAAAGATACAATTCAAACATATCCTTATATACTACTGCAATTAGTCGATTATTTGCTCACATTGGAGAAGCTGGAACGACAGAATGCTCTTCATTTTTGCTCTAAAGAAATCAATAAATGGATTATCAAAAATGGTTGCTGATTAATTTTCTGTCAGTTGACTAATCAATTAATCAACTAATGGTTTCAGCTCTAGCTAAATTAAAAAATGATTTGCAGTACACTGTTGCTAATAGACACATCTACACTAATTATTGCAAAACAGTTAGATTTGGCTTAATAACAAAATTATAAAAATAGATTATCTGTTTTATAAAATCTATGTATGTGCACATTTGCTGTGCGTGGAACATGGGAAGAAAGAATGGCAGCATTAAATAAATACAAAGAGGCCAACTTGGATGAGGGCACTGCAATGTCCCTGTGACCATGAATTCACATGTATGTATGTATGTATGTATGTATGTATGTATGTATATGTGTATGTGTATGTGTATGTGTATGTGTTTGAGGAAAACACTGGGTTACAAAGGTCATTGTGCCAGCTGAGGCATGGCATAATAAAAAGGCACAAGAAAAAAAGCTAAGAAAGAGGCACAAGGAACGCAAGTGTCATAAACAGCAACAACATGAAAAGAGACGATGGATAAAAGTAAGAAGGGAGCGAGACAACGAAAAAGAGAATCCGAAAGAGAACAAAGGGAGTTAAAGCCAGCGATGCTCCAATTCCCTGATTTTCAGGTCTTGCTTCTTCTTCAGGTTAATATTAAGCTGCTTTTCACACACAGCTTGGTAGGACTAAATTGACTGGACAGTGCTCAACTTGTGCGTTACAAACTACAACCACTAGTAGAAATGAGAGAGATAGAAAAAATATGCAGAAAGTATTTGTGTGTGTTGTTTTGCTATCCTTGAGAGTTTCAGACCTTCAGAGTGAAGACACATTTGCGAAACCAGATCATTGTAGCAAATTCTTACTTACCTAAGGCCTGTGGGGTTAAGTTCAGGCAATTTGGGCTCTAACAAAAATAGTAAGACAGACACCACCACACCATCCATGGTATATAGTGGTATAACAGTACCACAGTCTTTCTGACAAGTTTGTTGGTGCTTTGGCTAATGACAAAAATCTTGATATCCAAACTCCTACTTTCCGTTCCTCCTGTTACATGACACACACTGTGATATGAATCATAAATCTTTGACTCACTAGCTGTCAATTTCCGAGGCAGAACTTGGCCAAGCACACTGTTTCCACAACCTTGTATTGCATTTCTGCTCTCATGCGAAACAATCCAATAGAACAGCTTTCAGAGGGTTTGGCCAAACAATTCATCAAGTTGGATGTGATATTGCGTATCAAAGGACTTTGGCCAAGTTCAGGCCTCTTTCTGTTTGATTTTTCTAAGCGTTCATGAATGTTTCCAAACAACGGGCTGCTGCAGGTATCCATGATGACATTACTTGATGACTACATGGGGAATTCTATGTGAAGGGAATGATTCCCTTTGCCAGCAGCCATCAAAGTAATGTTGAGTGAGTCAATTAAAAACTAAAGAAGCAATTATTTAAATCAGTAGATTTAAAATGTTGAACTGACTAGCTCTCAGATGTGGATATATTTCATCAGTCTGAATTAATCTGCACACTTAAGCACTCTAAACAAATATACAACTGGTTACAACACTTTATCTGTCTTTGACTGAATTAAATCAATGATAATGATGAGACACTCCATGATTCCCAAAGTGCCTGGTGATGACTGAGGTGGGCTTTTGATGAGTCATGCTGGAGGTAGGTGTGCTTTAAAAAAAAAAAAAAAAAAAAAAAAAAAAAAAAAAAAATCACATATCCCATTGTGAAATACTGCTTTAAATAAAGCTGAGACAACCAAATATGAGGCGATTTCCACAACATGCAAAATACTCCCAGGATGGAAATAAACTAATCCACTGAGATAGAAAGAAACTAAACATTATGTCCTGATTATTCTGCCAGGGTGGCATGGTGTGGATTTTTATAGCAGTGACTCATTTTCACAGAGTGAGGAATACACACACACACACACACACACACACCCCACTCTAAAGCAGGATTTGGAGACTTTGGGGCAGCTCTCATCTCAGGAGCTTAGTGACACTATTGAGACATGCATGCACACAAACACACATACACAGCAAAGACTGTTACCTTCTCAGATTAGCTTTAAGGCTAATGTGGGTGTTGGTGAATTGAGGGACAAATATGAGACAAATAAGTGGCCTATCCACCAGCTTAAAGCACTGGGCC